AATGAATGGTCTCACATTAAAGGGCTCAAGGGCAGCATTCTCTTCTGGGGACATGGGTCAAGTGACCAGATGACAGCTAGATCAAGCCAAAGAAAAGCCAGAATAGGACTATCACTAAAAATAGAACAGAAAGCCCAAGAGGAGGAAGTATCCGTGATTTTGCTGTTGGTCAGGCTGTATGTACAGCTATGTTTGTGCTGAGATGGGACAGGGTGGAAAGGACTGAGAAGCTGGCAGGGAGCCAGGCACACTTAGGGTAAGCATGTAGAGTACACGAGCAAAGGGCCCAGAAAACCTTCCTCACTGAGTTAGGAAAGTTGGTTAACATCTATAGGGAGTCAGGAGAAAGACTCCTTTCTGGACACAAAATATCCCATGCAGGACTGCAAGTTCCTCCTTGCCGTTCCTTTGTGTTGTGAGAGCTTGGGAAAGGGAGCTCATGGGATTATGGTGCTTGAAAGATATTATGGTGCTTGAAAGATATTCCCAGCTACCCTGTAGTGGAAAGGACAGACAGCTGGGGAAGATGGGCTCAAGGGGCACTCTACCACTCTACTTGGGACAGAGCTAGTTACTGTCTTTTTTTTTCTTTCTTGTATTTTTATCGGTACGAGGGATCGAACTCACGACCACACTCTTGCAAGGCAGGTGCTTATGCCGCTGAGCTAAATCCCCAGCCCCCAACTAGTTACTGTCTTTGAGCTTCAGTTTTCCTCTCCCTAAAAAAACTATTGAGATGAAAAATGCAGTCTTTGTTAAAATGAGACAAATTTAAGAGGACCTACTTTTGTGTTTTTGAAACAGGGTTTCACTGTGTAGTTCAGGCTAGCCTTGAACATGATTTGAAGCCCAGCGATCCTCCTGCTTTAGCCTCCTGAGTTCTAGGATTACAGGTGTGCACCACCATGCCTGGCAATTCTGGAGGACTTAATGGAGTTAAAAAGTGAAAGGAAATGCAGAGGCTGGGAGGACTGAGCAAGTGAGGGTGCTTATTATCAAGAGGGGCTGGGGGCTTAGCTCAGTGGCATAAGAGCTTGCCTGGCAAGCACAAGGTTGTGAGTTTGATCCTTGGTACCCCCCCCAAAGGACGATTATCAAGAGTATTAAGATGTCACCATCTGCCCTGATCCCTAGGGTGGGGATGCTAAAAAAGGTTCTCAACTGGCAGAGGGGAAGTCTGTGAAGTTCTGTTTACCAGGATTCATGCAGATTACAAAGCATTTGACAAGCTGGTCAACATGGCTAATCCAAGAGGGAAAATTCCTTAGCATGCTGACTTTCGTGGATGGTAAATATCTTAGTCTGTGTTGTGCTTCTTAAAAAAATAGCTTGAACTGGGTACTTCATGAAGAAAAGAGGTTTATTTAGTTCACAGAGTTGGAGGTTCAGGAGCATGGCACAGCATATTGGTTTTCGGTGAAGGCCTTATGGTGGGTGGCAGCATAAGACAGTCATATGTTGAGAGGCAAAGGAGAGACAGACAGAGAAAGGCCAAACTCACCTCATAACAACCCACTCATGGGAACCAAGCCAGTCCTGGGACAGCGAGGAGAACCTCAGTGCCTCTCTTAGCTGCATCACCACCACAGTGGAGACCGATGACTTTTGGTGAACACAAACCATATTCAGACCATCACAGTAAAGTAGCAAGTTGCAGGCAATTGTCTTCTTATTTTTGTTTTTGAGACAGGTCTCACTATGCAGCTTAGGCTGGCCTCGAACTCATAGCGATCCTTTTGCCTCAGCTTGGATTACAGGTGTGTGCCACATCTGGTAGCAATTTTCTTTTCTTTTTTTTGTCTTTTTTGTTTTTATCGGTACCAGGGATCAAACTCAGGACTCACACTTGCAAGGCAGGCGCTTATGCCATTGAGCCCCTGCAACTATCTTCTTAAAAAGAAAAATATTCAAATAAGGAATCAAATTGGGAAGAATGAATATCTAGAAAGGTGAAACCAAAATCTTTTAGAGGAGCAAAGCACAGATGAACGAGGAAGGGCCTAGGACTGAAGCGATGCCCTGGTATGTGGTAGGGAGCTTGCACACTTAACCTTGAGATCACCTGGGTACCGGAAGAACATTACCACCAGCTAGGCAGCAGAAATCAGATGAGATGGGCTGGAGTGCTGTTTAATGGGTTGGTACCAAGATCTCTTGTGCCAGGCCTGGTGGCATACACCTGTAATCTCAACTTCTCAGGAGGCTGAGGCAAGAAGATCCAAGTTGGAGGCCCCCCCAGGCAACGTAATGAAAGCTTGTCTCAAAAAACATTTTTCTTTTTTTTTTGGTCTTTTTCCTTTTTATCGGTACCGGGGATCCAACTCACGACTGCCTGCTTGCAAGGCAGGTGCTTATGCTGCTGAGCTAAATCTCCAGCCCCTCAAAAACATTTTTAAAAGGGACTGGGATACAGCTCAGTGACACAGAACTCACCTAGTTCATTCCCCAGCACCACACACACACACACACACACACACACACACGCACACACACACGCACAATCTTGCAAGACAAGGGGAAGGTTCACTTTGCATAGAAATTCTGAGCATTTGAATCAGGGAGCTTTGACTTCTTGAACAGGGTGAGTCCTCTTGGAACTGCAGAGAACTATTTCCAGACAAATATCTTCTGTGTCATCAAAACAAGGATCTTAGGGCTGGGGATTTAGCTCCATGTGCACTTCCTTAAGTATCAGTCGTTCCTCAGCTCAAACATTCTTCCAGACTAAGTCTTCCACGTGACACACTAGACTGCAATCTGGCCCAACATCCATTCTCACTGCCTTTTTCTTCCATTCAGTTCCAGGCTCTGGCCATGACAAAATACCTCTTCTTTGTAGAACACACCTCACACTCCACCCATTTCCCAAGTTCCTTCGACCCTGAATGTCTTTTTATTATGCATCCATGGAGCAGATATTGTGTTGGGATGAAAGCCAATAGACAAGGTCCCGGTTCTTATGGACCTGCCTTCTCCCACTCCCAAATCTATACGTCCCTTGAAATTTTCTTCAATTTCATACATGAACATTCACTTTTTCATCTATTTTTTTTTTTTTTTTTTGAGACAAGTCTCTCACTGTATAGTTCAGGACAGTCTCATTGTCCTTGAATTTACTACGTAGCCCAGGCTGGCCTTAAATTCAAGGCTATCCTCCTGCTTCAACTTCCTAAGTGCTAGGATTATCTCTTCCTCTTTTAATACTTCCACACTTCTACAGCATCTGATACGGTTTGTGTAACTTTTTTTTTTTTTTTTTTTAATGACACAGGGTTTTGCTATGTAGTTCAGGCTAGCCTTGAACTCACTGTGATACTCCTGCCTCTGTCTCCCCAGTGCTGGAGTTAAAGGTATATACCTCATCTGGCTGGTTGGTGTAACATTTATACATCCAAACCATGTGTGTGTTTTCTGGCCTGCACTATACACTTCTTGCAAACTAGGGTGCCATTCATCTTTGAGGGTTTACCCAGTCTTCACACAAACAAGAGGCTTAATGTCTTGAAATATACCAAGTCTATTCCAATCAGCTTCCATCTATGATAAAGAAATGAACAATAAAATGTGGATTTTTACCTATTTTAAATAAATATAAATACTTTTTATTTTTATTTTTTAGTAAATACTTTTAGAGAGTAAAAATTAAAAATCATAATGAAAACACTTGAAAAACACCCAAATGATTTACAAACTGAATCTGTGGCTTATAATAGCTTACATGAATATCTTGCATTAATGATTCTGTGTCACTTTTTATTTTTAGAGGGATACTAGGGATTGAATTCATGGCTTTGCACTTGCCAGACAAGTACTTGTGCCACTGAGCTAAATTCCCAGACGCCTGTATCCCCTTCTTAAGAAACTGGTATAGAGGCTAAGATCATTTTAAAAGCAGACTTCCTATTCACTTTGTCACTAATAAGCACACAGGGCAAGTGGGGCCAGTGGTCTCATTTCTATAAACATGATAGAGACCTGCTCAGTAATTTCTGAGGACGACCATGGAGACCAATAATGACCAAAAGCCCAATGCTGCCAAGCCATTTACCACTAACAAAGGCCTCAGAAAAATACCCTTTGAAAAAGGTACTAGGAGGCCGGGGATTTAGCTCAGCGGTGTAAGCGCCTGCCTGGCTAGCACGAGGTAGTTTGATCCCTGGGCAAAAAAACAAAAAAGAAACAGTGCTGGGACTGGGGAGATAGCCCAAGGGCACAGCACCTGCCTGATAAGCATGAGGCCATAAGTTCAATTTCTGGTACAAAAAAAAAAAAAAAAAAAAAAAAAAAGGGTACAGAAGTAGCCTCTACCTGGCCCTCTCCATTCACTTAAGAGATATTAACACTGTGCATTCTTTTAGAACTCAGGACTGGCCGTGTGTGCTGTACACCTATAATCCCAGCACTTAGGGGCTGAGGCAGGAGGAATTGTCATGAACTTGAGGCCTGCTTGGGCTACACAGTGAGTTTAAAGTCAGCCTGGACTACACAGCAAGACCCTGTCTCAAAACACAAAACAAAGCAAAAAAAAAAAAAAAAAAAAAAAGTGAGTCCTAGCCTTCAGTGGGTCATGGTGGTCTACCAGAGAGGAAGCTGTGTTTAGATGGGTTGGGTTCAGTGTTGATTCTCTATCACAGAGGCTGATGGCCACACAGCAGAGACAGAGCCCCAGATCCCTAATCAGACAGGCAGGCATGAGAAGGCAAGCTGAGGGGCCTCTTCTGGATGGTTTTCTCTCTCTTGTTTTACTTTCCTACTCTGTTGTCATTGAAGCAAGGAGAAAATGACCAGTTCACCCACAATGCCTTATCTCAGGAAATTTCCTGGTGACATAACAGAAATCCTTAGCGTCTGGTGCATATACCTCTTTGATTGGAATTAAAAAATAAATTTTAGGTTTTCCAATTGCTCTGAGAACCCAAAGTTTGACTCTTGTTCACCATTACACTGCGTCTTTTTCAACACACTAGGCAAGGCAGAAAGCAATTCTCTGGCAGGAGGAATCCTAACAAATACTTTATTAACATACACTGTCATATTCCTGGGACATACGGTCCTCAGAACACTGCCTGCACTAACGCTGCTGAGATAAGTGCTTTGATCCTTGGTCTTCCTTCAACTGGCTTCATACTTCTGCAGTTCTTTAACAGATCAGCACCTGCACTACCTCCTGTCTCCCCCATGGAGCGAGGTCTCCTCCTAGTCATGAAGATGACTGAAGATGACTGCAATGGCAGAGGCTCCTTATGATTATGCCAGAATTCATTTTTCAAAAAGTCACTCTCATTCCAATTCTCTCCAGGAAGGGGCTGTAACATCTTCACGATGAGCATAAAGATTCCCACTGCCGGAATATTCGAAATACTTTCCTTGACTTCTCAGATAGACTCTACACGTATCGCAAAAAAAAAAAAATTAAATTGAGGATTAAATTTTTATAGACAAAGGATAACTGTTTCAAGACTTTGTATAAATTTCTTTCAAAATGAGTTATACAGACCCAGAACTGTGTAAAAACTCTATTATGTAATATATAATGTATAGCTAACGTCTAACAAAATCAAGAAGGCTGTCCTATTGAGAGATTGCAAACACACTGTGCCTCCAAATCATGGCTCATAGTCTCACCCCTAGTACAACATCTGTCTTCATCTTTGTATACGACATGACCATTAGTGCAACATGTATTTCCCACTGTTTTATTTATGGAGCTTAAATGGTTCTAGAGTTCATTTTCTGTGACTAAGGGTTCACACATGGTATCCAGCTGGCAGTAATTTCAAGCTGAGGAAAAATAACAAACAAAGCTGAATGGCCCCTAAGAGTTTAAAGTATAACCTAGGATTTCTCAGTTTCACGTTTTAGTCAGCAGAACTAAAAATAGGAAGATTTTCATTGCCACTTGATCATAACTATCATGTGCCTTAAGATTATGAGAAATGGAGGCCAACCTAGTCTACAATGCAAGACCCTGTCTCAAAAACCAAACCAAAACAAAACAAACTCCCCCAAAACAAAATGTCTCAGTAAATGGAACATTCATGTCTCCCTGCCTCCCATACAGCAACAGTTTCAGTAAGGGTACAAACAATTTTAACAAAACCATCCATAAGCTGTGTGTGGTGGGACATACCTGTAATCTAGAGCAAGGGGATCCAAATTTGGATCTCTGCCCAGGCATCTGGCAACTCAGCAATAATGTGTCTCAAAACAAAAAATACAAAGTTCTAGGGATGTAGCTCAGGATGGAGGCACTGGCATCAATTGTCAGCATTAAAAAAATAAAAAATAAAATCCATAAAGTTACCTCCACTTTCTAATACAAAACAGAAATTCCACTGTTTTCTTATTCTTTTGGGGGGAGGGGTCTGAGATAGAGTCCTGCTATATAATTCAGGCTGACCTTGGACTCACTAGGTATCCCAGGCTGGCCAGAATTCATGGTGATCCTCCTGCCTTGACCTCCCTTGTTCTCTCTTGACCTCCCAAATGCTGGAATTACAGGCATGTGCCACCATGGATGGTTTTTATTGTTTTACAGATGAGCTTATCAATAAAAAAAGAAAAGAAAATCCTATGGAAGAAAAGCTTGACTCAGGGTACTGAGGAGGAATTCATTTAGGGATCAATTAAAGCTGAAGTAAACTAATTTTTTTGTTTAAATTTTATTGAGACAGGGTCACATTATGCAATCCTGGCTGGTCTCAATCTGGCCTATAATCTCTGAAAGAAACTAAATTTTAGAAAAAGCACACATGGTGGTACAGTCTGATAACACCATTACTCAGGAGGCTGAGAAAGAAGATTGTGAGTTTGAAGCCTGCCAGGACTATCTAATAAGACTTTGTCTCAAGAAAACAAAAACAAAACAAACAAAAAGTATAAAATTTTTTTTCCCAAACATCAAGATCTGGCCACAGTCCTATTAAGCCTGGTACTGTAGTATCCATTTAAAGCAGGAAGGAGTAGGTTGAGACATGCTTCCAAAAAGGATCTTAAAAGCCTTGAAATCCATTGCCAACATTTTCCACTTAAAAATACACACACACACACACACACACACACACACACACACACACACACACAATACAACACCTAAAGGCAATAACAACAAACCCCCTGTGCTGTTTGATTTTAGTATAACAGTAACTAAATAGTATTTCCTCTAGGCACGGAGAATTTTATGTATAAAGATAAATTTGTATCTCTAATTTGAGCAATGGATCAAATATTTGTCTTCAAATAGCTTCTTTTTTTTTTTTTTTTGGTCTTTTTCCTTTTTATCGGTACCGGGGATCGAACTCACGACTGCCTGCTTTCAAGGCAGGCGCTTATGTCGCTGAGCTAAATTCCCAGCCCCTCAAATAGCTTCTTATTTTTCCAAAAGCTTTTAAATTAAAAAGTTTTTTCTGAAAAAACTTGGAAAGCTTCAGGTACATATTTATTGAAGATACTGATGTACATTGTCAGGCTTCTAGCACTGATTCATTTGCTTTCAGTGGAACCCTGTGACCCTACAAAACCACAAATCTGAGGATGCTGGTTGGCAAGTGTTATTTCATTTGGCCTTGAAGGCCATAGAGGTCAGAACTGTTATATTTATAGCAGGCTACAAGGCAAGTCTGGAAGTGAGCCCACAGAGAAAAGAGAACTGAGTTTTCATGATTTCTTAATAGCCACCCTATCACTTTCATCCCTGATACACAGCAAGCACTTGACTTGTTCTCTCAGATGTCAGGATGGCTTTGCACTTATACACCCTATAATCACAGCAGTCAGGACTGTGATGGTTGATGATGGTCTAGCGCACATGCTTGGGCTGTGGGGAGAATAAAAGTAAGGTGTTTGATCTGGGAGTGAAATCACTGGCACAGCGTCAGAGCACAGAGCTCCCAACAGCCAAGCTCACTGGCCAGGCTCCAAAGAAAGAGACAGCCACTCTGACGGAGTAAGCAGCTGCTCTGCAACAGGAGACTGGGGCAGCTGCCCATTCATCTACTTCCATGTCTGTACTCCTCTCAACCTCAAGTCATTTTAGCTGTGAGAACAAAGAATCTAACTGAATTTGATGGAATACCATATGCTAGGCTGCAGCCACTGAACCACTTCCGTGCCTTTCTCTAAGATGAAACCAGAGTATGTCCAACTCAGAAAAGCCAAAGGCAGGCAGGGTACTAATTACAGCACCAGCTTCTGACACCAGTTCTATCAACCCCAAGTGCTGCACATACACAGGCATCTACTTAGCTCACCATAGGGTCTGCTTCAGCTGGCTGGCTAGATTGCTTACGCGCCAGCAGCATAGTCAGCGCTGCCTTCCAGCCTGGCTCTGCAGAGGCACTGGCATCCTGCTCCAATCCCCTGTTCTCTTTGGCTTCTCTGCCAAGTGTGCTGTTCACCCAAGGGCACCAGTCTCTGTGCTGAGACGTGGGATCAAAGAAGCTTCTAGCTGTGTCCTGAGGGAGGAAGAGACAATGAAGGGCAATGAACTGTCAATGAAGGGCAGATGCTATCTTGATTCAGGGATGCATTGCCATTAGTCATCATGGTTAGAATCTCATGATTGTCCAAGCTTCTACTTTTTTTAAACTTTTTTTTTTTTTTTTTGTCTTTTTTTTTTTGAGACAGGGTCTCGCTGTGCAGTTCAGACTAGCCTTAGGCTCACTTTGTAGCCTAGGGTAGTCTCGAACTCGCAATGATCCTCCCGCCTCAGCCTCCCGAGTGCTGGGATTACAGGTGTAAGCCACCACGCCCAGCCAAGCTTCTACTTTTTACATTCTCCTTTAACTCTTTATTTATTTTCCTTTATTCTTTTCCTCTTTTTGTGTAAACAAACAGTATTTATCAGGTTTGTTCCTAGCTTCTGTCCCCTTGGCCTGAGATACTCCTTACCTCTTGAGAATCCATCCCAAAGGAACAAATGACAACTTAAGATGTGGCCTATCTTGAAATTATTCACAGTCTACTTCTGGTTACAGAATTAGGAAGGCCGGTGCCTGGTTTTCCATGCCACACAGCTGCAGACAGCAAACTCACCGAGCTGCCTGAAGAACAGAGGCGAGCACGCTTGGCTCTCCGGAGAGGGCTGGAGGGCATTTCTAGGCCAGCAGCATCCCCCGCGCCCATGCTCCGGGTCACAGGGCGGGTTCTAGGAGTAGGGCTGGCTGTCTCTGGCTCAGGACGCTCTACAGGACAGGAAGAGTCCCAGCTCCGCATCCGGGAGACAGTGGGACCAGGACTTTTTTCAGCCTGAAGGGAAAACAATGAGAATATATGAATGACGTTAACTGTTAGTCTAAGAAAGTATTTCTAAGTAGTTTCTGAACTGCATACATAACTAAAATCTTAAGTTATATTTGTTTACTGAATCTTTGCAATGAATTTAGCTTCTGTACTGGTGAACAGAAACGTGACAGGATAGTCTGATTGATCTATGCAGTCAGAAGTAAAGCCTTTCTGGGCACTGGGACACACACACACATACAGTAATTACTATACTCTGGGGAGACTAAGGCAGAAGAATTGCAAACTGCAGCTCACCCAGGGTAACTTAGTGAGGTCCTGTCTCACTAACAAAATAATAAAAGGGCTGAGGATGTGGTTCAGTGTGAAGGTCAAGGGTTTGACTCCCAGTATAGCAAAAAAAAAAGCTATCCATCAACTTCTACAACTAACACTTTTGGCAAGAATGCTATTAACATGTCTACCCCAAACAAGCTAAGTCAAAACCTGGTCCAAGCCTGGTGAAAATGTGGCATCCTGGCTCCGGGTCATTATCCTCCGAGGAGATTCTGGCACTGGAGGGAAGCGCTCTGGCCGACCCTCAGGCCCTGCGATAGGCGAGCTGGTCGGGCCAAAGCAGGATTCCAGGTCAGTCATGGATGACTCCATCTGCTGGAAGCTCCAGAGCCCCACTTTCCTCATGCAGTGTGAACACGTTATCAGGGAGAGCTGCATAGGTTCCAGAGCGGGGCTGGGAAGGAATGGAAAAGAAAGTGGGTGTTCCCAAACAACATCGCCACATGCCTTAGCATGATTCACGAGCATGCTTTGTTTCAGCTAGCACATCTCTATGCTGGCCTCTGGAATGATAGCCATGTCCTCTCACAGCCCTGTCCACTAATCTCACCATCTGTCTCAGTCCCGCTTATATATTTCCCATAAAAGGTCTGGACCTTGGCGTGCTCTGAAATGCGCTTTATTCTTTAAAGGAACATAAACTTCCAGGTAGGAAGTAACAATATAAGAAATAAAGTGTGAATACCAAGGATTCCTAAGTCCTAATTCTGGTTTTGTTAAAAAATGTCTGTGATTTCCAAATGCTACTAGTGACAGATGTGATTGAGCTGTAGTCTGTTGTCATGGTTCATGTACCCAGGCAAGATTCTCTGACTAACCTACATGCCCAGCCACACACAGAGAGAATACAGGCAGTGACATGAATGTCTGAGCCCAGTTTGCTTGCAGCTTTTTTCTCGTCCGTTTGGTGATCAAGTTCATCTTCAAGCAGGTTTAGCAGAAGGCTGACCTTGTCTTCTGTCAAGCACTACAAAAGAACCAAGGTAAACAACTTCAGGTTTCAGTCACCACAAAATGAAAATTTAGCACAAGTGCCTGCTGGCAAATGCAAGGTCCTGAGTTTGATTCCTGGTACCAAAAAAAAAAAAAAAAAAAGAAAAGAAAAGAAAAGAAAAAAGAAAAAGAAAAAGAAAATTTACACATTATGATGTCCTTAGATGGCAAGAGACAAAAATCAGGAAAGAAATGATGAACTTAGTGACAGCATCTTCATACACAAGACTCACTCTAGGGCAGGATTGTGGGATCCATTTTTCTTTTTTTAAAGTACAAAAGTGTTTTTCATGGGCTGGGGGTTTAGCTCAGCAGTACAAGTACCTGCTTGGCAAGCACAAGGCTATGAGTTTTGATCTCTGGTATCAAAAAAAAAAAAAAAAAAAAAAAAAAAAAGTGTGTTTTCAATTTACCCACTGTCAATTTTCTCTAAACGTGTGAACTTCAAACCAAAATAATGAAAAATTTACTACTTAATCTTGGCCTGACAATAAATTTACTTTTAGAATGAACATTATTTCCTAGCCTTCATTTTTGTTCTAAGGATAATAAAGAACTATAAAGTGGGGTGGGGGGAGTCATAGAGTTGGCTAAGGACAGGGTGACATAAGTAGGTGCCAGAGGATGACAGTCTGCTGTTAAAAAGCCATGTCGGGAGGCTGGGGATTTAGCTCAGCGGCATAAGCGCCTGCCTTGGAAGCAGGCAGTCGTGAGTTCGATCCCCAGTACCAATAAAAAGACAAAAAAACAAAAAAAAAAACATGTCGGATTGTCAACTTCAAGAAGGAAAATACCAGCTGCTATTTTCTACAACACAGTTTATCTTCATAGAGTACTCACAGGCTGATCAACTGGGACAGTAAACATTCAGTTTCAAAGTACAGATGGGCCAGAGTATTTCAACATTTCTATTCACAAGAAGAAATTTATAGGCAGGGCATTGCAGGGCATGCCAGTAATGCCAGCACTCGGGAGGACTGCCATGAGTTTGAGGTCAACCTGGACTACACAGTGAGTTCAAGGCTAGCCTGAACTATATAGGGAGACCCTGTCTCAAAATGCAAGCAAGCATGAGGCTGGGGATTTAGCTCAGCAGTACAAGTGCCTGCCAGGCAAGCATGAGGACGTGAATTTGATCCCTAGTACCAAAAAAACAAAACAAACAAGCAAGCAAGCAAACAAACAAAAACAACAACAAAAAGAGATTTAACAACAAAAAAAGGAGTTGTAACTTGCCCTTTAAAAGTTGGTATGCAATAAACCCTAGGTAGTCATATTTCCATATCTTCTGTTAACTAGTTTAACAAATCAAGATAAATTTGAATTTATGCCATTTAAAAAATCCTGTCTAGCCAGGCATAGTGGTGCATACTGGCAAGCACAACTCTCTGAGAGGATCAAGTCCCAGATGGGGAACTTAGCAAACTTACTTTGTGGAGGTCCTGGGTACAATTTCTGGAAAGCTCTCCACCAAAACAAACCCCCCAAAAACAAAAACAAAAACAAAGAATCGTGTCTAACCTAGGCAGGATGGCATACATACCTATAACCAATGATCTCAGCTATCTGGGAGGGTGAGGCAGGAGGAGCAAAAGTTCAAAGCTAGCTGGAAAATTTAGGGGAGAATCTATCTCAAAATACAATTTTATAAAAGGACTGGAGGTGTAGCTCAGTGGTCTAGCACTTACCTAGCATGAGTGAGTCTCTAGGCTTCCTCCTTACTACAGCCACCTGCCCCATCCCCAAAACTTAAAACAGGTATCTAAATATTTTAAGTGGAACATATTTTCTGGTAAAAACTGAAAAGATCAGATGAGAGACAAGTAGTTCCCTTTGTAACAGCCTATCCTTTGCTATTAAAAGAAATCTACTTATAAATGCTAGTAACAATTAGAGGCCATTGTAACCTAGCCAAGAAAAACTCACCATAGTTTTTAAGTCTTCTGGCCTCAGGGAAGGGAGCTGGAGGTCCAAGTGACAAAGGCTTTGAAACCGATCCAGGAACTCACTGACAAGAACTGCAGGTTCATCCAAAGGCAACATTCCAAATCGGTCTGTGAAGGAAGTACAGTGGAAGATTATACTGGTGTTAAAAAAAAATAGGATAATTACAAAAATGTAACATGGATGAGAAATTTATTAAGAGTCAAATGTGGCGGCACATGCCTGTATTACTAGCCGCTGGGAAGCTGAGGCAAGAGGATAACTGCCAACCTAGGCTGCAGCTTGGACCACATATAGAAAAATTACCTCAAAAAGACCCAAGGGAAAAAAAAAAAAGAGGAATTACTGCAGCCAGGTACACTGTGGTATGTGTGGCCTCAGTGAGTCAGCAGCCTATGAAAAGAGGCTCACTTGAGCCCAGAGTTTGAAGCACTCTGCAGAGGGGCTGAAAGGAGTTAGGAAGATAGAAGAAACCAGATTGGTTTTAAGTAGGGATAGGGATATAGCTGAGTACTATCTTGGGCATTACCAGATTGATCTGTCAGATATTTGGTACAAGCCCAACCTGGGCAACTTAGTGACACCCGGTTTTTTTTTTTTTTTTTTTCTTTTTCCTTTTTATCGGTACCAGGAATCAAACTCACGACTGCCTGCTTGCAAGGCAGGCGCTTATGCCGCTGAGCTAAATCTCCAGCCCCAGTGACACCCTGTTGTAAAAAAAAAAAAAGTCTAAGGAGGTAGCTCAGTATGAACACCCTGTATTGAACCCTAGCATGAAGCAAAGCAAAACATGAAAAGTCTGAAGATGTCTCACCAAACAGAGAATGTCAGTAAAGAGGAAAAAATCTTTAAAAGAATTAGAGAGAAACTATGGAACTGGAAAGTACAAAAACTGAACATTCAGTAAAGGAGCTCAACAACAGATCTGAGTTTGTAGGAGAAAGAATCAGCAACACTCAAGATAGGTAGATTGAGATTATCCTAAAAAGAAAAAAGAATGAACCACAGAAGGATAGGTGAGAGGGGGAAAGAGGAAGGAAAAAAGTTTAAAAAAAATTAGCTGAAAACTTCCGAAAGTTGATGAAAACCATTAATTTCCATATTAAAAAAATAGAAAAGAAACTATAAATGTGCTGAACAGAACTAAAACTAGGTAGGAACTGTACCAGGAATGAGATACCCAGAACAAAAAGCTTGTTCAGTTTCTGTGGGTGCTGACACAGGAAAAAATGTTGTTCTGGTTATAGTTACAATCATGGACAAGGAAGGTTTGACAGTGGGTTCTACGATGAGAAAAACCCAACTTTTCTGCATAGGTGCTGTAACTCAGTGGGAGAGCATGGTCATGTGTGACACACTGGGTTCAACTACCAGTACCAAGTTATTACCACCACCAAGTGAAAAAACACTAGCTTTACTAAGGAGAGCTAACTGGGAAAATTATCACCTGGGAGCTATGTAATTTTAGATTAGTGTACTAATTACAAAGCTTCAAACATACTACATGTGACAGCATGGATGCAATTTTAAAAGTTGACCAGTCATATTCCCAACAAAAAGTAAGTTATAGAAGGATATAGATATGTTCAACACTTACACAGAATTGTGGAAAAAGTAAATAGTGCTATATTTTTTTGTTTTTGTTTTTCTGACCTTGAACTCACTCCTCCTGCCTCAGCTTCCCAATGATTGGGATTACAGGTGTGCATCACCCTGCCTAGGTTACTTATAGACAAATGTAAATGTTACTTCAAGATACAGGGGCAGAGATTGAGAATGGAGAAATTATATGACCTTTAAAACTTTGACATCTTTTTTTTAAACATTATTGGGGTATTAGAGATTGAACCCAAAAGATGTATCACTAGCCCATTTTATTTTGAGAATGGGTCTTGTTAAATCACTAAGTTGCCTAAGCTAGGCTTAAACTTCAGTCTTCCTACTCTGGCCTCTCAGAGTGCTGGAATTTTAGGTGTGTGCACCATGTTTGACATAAATTTTTTTTTTTCTTAAACAGGGTCTCACTATGTCATTCAGGCTTGCCTTGAACACACTATGAAACTCATGCTAGTCTCTCTCTCTCTTTTTTTTCCCCTGGTACCAAGGACCGAACTCACGACCGCCCTTCCAAGGCAGGCGCAGATGCCGCTGAGCTAAATCCCCAGTCCCATGCTAGTCTCTTAACTTAAGATGAATCTCCTACCTCAGCACTCCAAGTGCTGGATTACAGACATGTGTTTGGCAATGTAACTCTTCTTGATTAGCAGAAAGAAAGCAAGGTGGCATGGTTTGAACCAAAGATGGTAAAATGCTGGTATACATTAAGTGGTGTTGGACACTAGATACAAAGATTTTTTTCTGCATTTGAAAACTTTCAAAATTTGAGAAATTGTCTAAAAAATTAAAATAAGGATCTAGCATGGTTGCTCATACCTGGGAGACTAGGCAAGAGGATTACCATGAGTTCAAGGTCAGTCTGGGCTACACTGTGAGTTCAGGGGCAGCCTAAACTACACAGTGAGACCTTGCCTCAAAAGACAAAAACAAAACAAAACAACAAAAACCCCCACCTTACAGACAGCATTTATTTTGTATTAGATTATATAAGTAATCTAGAAATGAGTTAAAGTATACAGCAGAATATATATATAGGTTCTGTGCAAATGCCATGCCATCTTACATAAGGGACTCAAGAATTCACACATTTTGGTATCCAAAGGGATCTTGGAACCAATCCCTCATAGGTACAAGGGACAACTGTAATCATATACAGTGACCCTTGACTTGCAAACTCAGTTTGTTCTCCAAGGCTGGTTGTAACTAAGCTGTCAACCTGAAGGCTGAGGCTCCTCTACACAGCCATCAGAGTCTCTCTCCTGTATAGAGGCAGATCTCAGTATCCTTAGAGAGACATTGATCCAGGATTTCTCAATTAACCCCATATAGGAAAGGATGTTGTAATATTCCTTCTAGAACTCTTTAAGGGTTAAATCTGTATTTGAGAACATCTGGATGTATAAGCAGCCAGCAATCAGCTCATAACGCAAGACTTTGGTCATAAATTAAAACTAAAATTCTGGTCGGAACCCAAGTTGCTCATGTTACACCAGTTATAACTCAAGGCTCTGCTGTATGTCAAAATACATGCCATCAGTCAGGCATTGTGCATACCTGTTATCCTAGGTGTGAGGAGGCTGAGGCAGAAGGATCACTGTGAGTTCAAGGCCAGCCTGAACTGCATAGTGAGACCCTGTCTCAAAAACACAAAATAAATAAATAAATAAAAATAAAAATTTAGGTCTATGAAAAGTTCAGCTTTGTATATGTTGAAATCCCTGTATGAATAATATACAGGGAAATGTTTTTTTGAGACCAGGTCTTGCTACGTAGTTCAGGCTGGCCTTGAACTCATTATGTAGCCCAGGGTGGCCTCAAACTCACAGCAGTTCTCCTGCCTCAGCCTCTAGAGTGCTGGGATTACAGGCATGTGCCACCATGCAAAGCTTTGTGGAAATATTTAGAGGGTAGTTAGAAGACGAGTAAAGTTCAGGAGAGATCTACTTAAGAATTTGAGGTTCCTAAGTGAGATACAGTTATGAATAAGGTCAGAAAAGCAAAGTGCAGAATCACAGTAGCTGGGACCTATTAAAGAGTCTGGGCAGACCCTAAAAATTTGGACTGAGTGCCGTGGACAGGGAGGGATTCAAATAATCACAGGACACAGTCATGTCATAGCACACATTGAAATACCTAGCCCAACAGCTAGAAATGCTTGTTACACATTAATCTTCATTTTAACAGTTTCATCAGAGGCAGTAACAATCTATTTTTTCTTCTTGGTGTTCATTAATGGAATATTCCTAGCCATCTGTGATCTTAGAATTGGCCAGAGCTGCCCTATTGAAATTAAAAAAAAATATATACCTACACTGTACTTATCCCTGAAAAAGGTATGACATATATGATGCAGTGTTGCACTGTAACCAAGGGTCTGAGGAATTAACTGGTCTTGGTGAGATTTCCCCACCAGGGGGCTCTACTGTTAAAGCTGTTTACTTAGCAGAAATATTTCTGTGTAACCAACAAAATATTTAAAAATCTCAATTGATGGCCAGGTACAGTGGTTCACACCTGTAATCCTATAAGGTGAGGCAGGAGGATCACCTCGATTTCAAGGCCAGCCTGGGATACAAAGTGAATTCAAGGCCAACCTGAACTATATTGTGAAACTCTGTCTCAAAATGACAAAAACAAAACAAAAAGTCCCAGTTGATAACTGCATTTTGGGTTCTCATTTCAAAGTGTTCTGTGCACACATCAATGGTTCCTGATTCCAGAAGATCATGTCCTGCCATGGCCTATATACAGAGAAGTAGAGATGCTTAAACCTGACCACTACAGTTTCCTTGTGGAGGGGTCTGAAGCTGTGAAGACATCCTACTTCAGTGTTACTGCTAGAGTGTACAGTTTTACTCCAGTAACTAGTTCTGTATCACTCTCATTTGAGTCCTGTTAGTCTTCTATAGCAAACCCCTTTTAACTGCCATTAATGAAGTTAGTGCATTCTCTAAAGGAAGCCTCAGTAGAACAAGGTGCTGCTTAGTATGGTGGGAAAGAAAGCAGAGAGCTTGCAATCAGAGAAAACCATAGCTATAGCTTCTCTCTGGTTTAAGACCTTTGATTCCTCATCACCTATAAAAAAAAAAAACTGAGTTGATAGCATTTACTTCCAGGGGTTCCTTTGATGATTAAATGGGGTAAGGTATACATGGCTAAGTCACTAGCAAGACAAATGCACTTAAAAAAGTTAAGTAATAACATCAATATGTAAGTTCTTGAAAAGTACAAGTGGGTTGGGGATTTAGCTCAGCGGCATAAGCGCCTGCTTTGCAAGCAGGCAGTTGTGAGTTTGATCCCTGGTACCGATAAAAAACGAAAAAGACCAAAAAAAAAAGAAAAGTACAAGTAAAAGAAAAAAAAAAAAACTTCAAAGATTAGGTTTTCACAAAGAAATGGACAATACTAGAGCCAGGTATCATGGTGTACAACTATAATCCCAGCACTACTTGGGAGGCTGAAGATCACCATAAATTCAAGGCCAGCCTGGGCTACACTATGAGACTCTGCTGGAAAAAAAAAAAAAAAAAAAAGGAAAGAAAGAAAGAACAAAATAGACAATATTAGAAATATAATGACCCAGGAAAGACTGTAGATGGACTTGGAAATAAGTACCTGGACAGGGGCTATCTGGCCAAAAACAGAACTTCTCATGGGCAGTGCACAAGGATTTCTTCAGCTCATCACAGCGTTCCTTATCTGAAATCCACACAAGTAGCAATGCTTTAAAAAAACACTACATAGATTCAAAATCCAATAGTCAAGAATTTTTTTTTTTTAATCGGTACCAGGGATCAAACTCACGACTACCTGCTTGCAAGGCAGGTGCTTATGCTGCTGAGCTAAATCCCTAGCTCCAGTAGTCAAGAATCTTAAGAATACAAACATGGGACAGAGATAGAGCTCAGTGGTGTAGTGCCTGCCTGGCAAGTGTAAGGTCCTGAGTTCAATTTCTGGTACCCACCAAAAATACCCACAAAAAACAAAAAACCCCACACAACTACAAATTAAAATAATGAAAAAAATTAATAAATACATGAAAATAATAGCAACTACATCATAATATTTTTTGCAAAATACATTGTAAATTGAGATCCTAAGATCAGAAAAGGATACATATCATGTAATTTAAAAGGCAGGGCATTTCAAAACGTGAGCATTCAGAAACCCTTTGTCTCAAGTATGCATTTTTTAATGAAAAAGTAAACATACTGCTGTTATTTACCTAAAACATATAAACTCAAGTCTACTTGACACTAGCTTAGTTTTTTTTTTTTTTTTTGTCTTTTTCGTTTTTATGGGTACCAGGGATCGAACTCACGACTGCCTGCTTGCAAGGCAGGCGCTTATGCCGCTGAGCTAAATCCCTAGCCCCACTAGCTTAGATCTTAAGAAAAGTAATGACTAAGCTTATAATTCAAGTGAAATTTATCTTTTCATACGCAGAGGACATTTTTGCTCAACTAGTGATTTTTTCTAGAAAAACGATCGTATCTTTGAATGTGAAGAAAGATTTTATCTGTACTTTTACTTACATCTGTCAAAGTCAAAAGCTGGCTGTAAACTAGCACAAAGAAAAGCTTGACAGCTGGAGCATTTGAGCATGTCACATTCAACTGTGACCCAGCCATATTTTGCACACACGAGTGGGGACAGCTCAGGGGGCTTCCCTGCCCATTTCAAAGAGTGCTCATGTTAAGAGAAACAACAAACACTGCAAGTATATTTAAATGAATAAAATTTAAATGAATAAGTCAGAAAGGAAACTTTAATTCATTCTTATTGCATATTGGGATAAATATATTAAAGACAAAAGATGTGAGAAAGGTAAAAGAAGTTGTAAAGTCTATTTTTACAGTGCAGATAAGATACATACTTTACAGAATGATGATCATTTAGGTAACAAGCAGAGTGAAAAAGTTGTTAGTTTCTTGTACTCTGGGTGAATGTGGAGATGACAATGCACAATGTTTGCACCATTGTTGCCCACTGATTGATGTTTTGAAATTTTTAGTTTTTTTCTCCTTGAAATAAAATGAATTTTCTCTTTGAAAAAAATACAATCTCACACACAGACACAGACACACACACAAAGTTATTAATCTTTTCTCTAGATAACACTGTTTTACATGATTCAAAATTTTATTTTGTGGCACACCTGTAGCCCTAGTTACACAGAAGGCTAAGGAAAATCACTTAGTCTTGAGATTGCCATGGACAACACAATGAAACTGAATCTCAAAAAAAATTTTACTACTGGTGGTGTAATGCAATATAGAAGCCACTCACTGTTATTTAATCTGAAACATTAGGAACTCAAAAGACACTAGTGAACCCACTATTATATGCCTAGTCAACAGGAGTGGTAAAAAAGGCAGGAATATTTTCTACTACTTGTGTATGCTCTCCTTTCACATCAAATCTATATTTACCTTCACTTTCCATAGTCAATTGTTATATACTAACAGGTACGTATGGATGCACATATTTCAAAAAGCTGAGGGTAGCCTAAAATGTCCTGAAATGTTTATTGATCCTTATTTTTGATCTTTCATTATTTTTATTTTTTTGTGTAGGCATTGAATCCAGGACTGTCACACAGAGCTATATCTCTAGTCCTTTTCCTCATTTTTACTTTTTATTTATTTATTTATACTTTTAGTTTTAAGTCAAGGTCTTGCTCAGTCAGGTTGCCCAGGATAGCTTTCCTCAGCCTCCCAAATGCTGGGATTACAGATATGTACCACCACACCTACAGCTTTGTATGTATAAGTATGTGGTTTAATGCTTTACCTAATGAGCTATTATTTTATATAGCACAAAAAAGGGGGAAGATAAAGCAGGAAAGTTCTGTATTTTTTATAAGGGATATAGGAATTTGAAAACATTCCAATCTCAGCAAAAGAAGGAATAAAGATTAGATAACAGTTTAGGTATTAATGTTTAAGGAGCTAGGATTATCTAGAATAAAAACAACTGAAGCACATAATTAGATCAAGTTAAATAAATGATCACCATATCCAGAGGTGATAAATTTATAGCCAATAAGAACAAAAGGAAATGGAACTAAATACTGTACCAAAAAAATGAACTGAATCCAAAGAACGACTGTTAGAAGAATAGTTAAAATACCTTCTCCTTCTCAAGCACATTAAAATCATCAGATAGGAAATAGGGAAGATGTCTGTGCCAGGACGATGTGGAGAGGCCACACACCATAGCCTAAATCCAAGTGGTGTGAAAAGGGAAACCACATAGAAGGGTAATCCAAGCTGGTGCATCAAAGCAAAACGAGATACAAAAGATATTCACATGGGCCAGGTCTGCATGGAGTGCTAGGGCCTGAATGGGATGAAAAGCTGACATGGTGGTACATGCCTGTGATTCTGGCACTCTGGGAGGCTGAATTAAGAGGATCACAAGTCTGAGGCCAGCCTGGGCAATTTGCTGACTTAGCAAGTCCCTGCCTCAAAATAATACTTTTTTTTAAAAGGAGCAGTAATGTCATTCAGTATAAAGTTCCAGAGTTCAATCTCTAAAAACTATAAAAAAAGAAAAAGAAACTCATGCAAGAGACAGTACAGCAGAAATGGAAGAGTGCATGCATACAGAGAGACTGATGAAACTAACTGTATTAAGGATAAAAAGAATTGGGCTTCACAATGTTGAATAAGGACAAGAAATGACAGAAAGGGAGAATGAATTCTGTGGTACCGAACAAGAATTAAAAGTGCCTGCAGGTATCCATATAGTATTTTTTAAATATAGGGATAAAAGCTGGGTGTGGTGGCTCATGCCCATAATCCCAACACTCAGGAGGCTGAGGCAGAAGGATCATTATGAGTTTGAGACCAGCCTGGGCTATAAAGTGAGTTCAAGGTCAGCCTGAACTGCATAGTGAGACCCTGTCTCAAAAAGACAAAAGAAAGAAAGAGATACAGAAACATACACAGACATAAAGAGGTATACACCTGGCTTTCCTTATCTGTAGGGTCTGCACTGATATGCTTAGCTAGTCATAAATTCAAGGGTTTTGTTTTGTTTTCCAACAAATGCATCTGAGGGCTGAGGCTATAATTAAATGGGAGAACACTTGCCTAGTGTTTGTGAGGCACTGGGTTTAAATACTACATAGCCCAGGTTGGTCTGATCCTCCTGCTTTTGCCTCCTGAAGGCTAGGATTATAGGTGTGTACCACCACAACTACCCAATACAGACTTTTTTGCTTTTCAGTATTCCCACATACTACTTATTCTCTACATGATATTATACTTAAGTAATCTAGAAATGACTTAAACTATACAGAGAGCATATGTAGGTCCTATGTAAGTACTACGCCACTATAAAAAAACTTGAATATTCAGGGATTTTGGTGTCCAGAGGGGTCTTGAAGTCAACCCCCCTATGGATACCAAAGGATAATTGTACATGTACACATAAATGTGGGTCCACATACATATGTGTTATGCATATCTATGTCTATTATACATATAGTATTTGTCTATTACACATATAGTATTTGTCTATTATACATATAGTATTATACATATTAGTATCCATAGCTCTTTCCTCTATGCAACAGCATCCATGAGCTATAAATTCACAGTGTGCAGTTTTCAGGATCTTGGCTTTGTATTTTTCCCCCAGTACTATATATTGAACCCATGGCCTTTACCCTGAGTTATAGTCCTAACTCTTTTTTAAGACAAGGTCCCTATAAGTAGCTAAATTGCTCAGGCTGGAATAGAATAATCTTCCTGCCTCAGCCTCCGAGTAGTGGGATTACAGGTATGTACCATATATCTTGGCCATATATCTTGGCTTTTAAATAGCATTCTAGAGCCAGGTATAGGGATGCATGCCTGTAGTTCCAGTACTTAGAAAGGTGAGGCAGGAAGACTGCCACAAATTTGAAGCCATCCTGGGTTACGTAGTGAGTCCAAGGCCAGGTTGAACATAGTGAGACCCTGTTTCAAAACACTACAAAAAAAAAAAGAGAGAGAAAGTGACATAAATGGCAAATTGAAGAGGATTTCACTGACTATTGAGGGACAATTAGAACACAGTAATAGATTATAATCCACTGAACAAAAAAGGAAACCATGAGCCTGTGATGCTACAAGAACATAAAGTCTGATGAGAAACAAGAGAGTTACATTTTCAGAGAACCTCCTCTGAAGTGGTTTTTATTACAAAGGAGGAGTTATTTTTGTAGTGGATAATGATCACAGCCAATATTCCCTTCATCAAGTGGTCATCACCATACAAAGATAACCCTTAACATGTGCCAGCTGGTAAGATCCATGAGCATACAGTATCACTTCATGATCCTCCTGAACAGCTTGAACCTAGCAGAAGTGAGGCGAGTTGAGGTACGGTCTATTGTTTGCCTAACTCTTAAAGGTGTCAAGGTCATAAAATTAAAAAAAAAAAAAAAAAAAAAAAGAAGCTTGAGGGAATATTCTAGATTACAGGAGACTACAGCAGTATAACAAAATGCAATGATTATCAACAGGATTTTTTCCACTGCAAACATTATTATTAGTACAATTAATAAAAAAAAACTGGGATCTGAAGATTAGATAGTAATACTTTTTTTTTGTCTTTTTCCTTTTTATCGGTACCAGGGATCAAACTCATGACTACCTGCTTGCAAGGCAGGAGCTTATGCCGCTGAGCTAAATCCCCAGCCCCAGATAGTAATAGTTTATCATTGCCAATTTTCTGGTTTATCTTTTGGTGGTATAAAGGACTGAACCCAGCAACTCAAATAGGCAGTGATCTACCATTGAACGACATCTTCAACCTTTTTATTTTGAACGAGGGTCTCACTAAACTGCCTCAGCCTCTCAAGGGCCTGGGATTATAAGTATGAGTTACTGTATCTGGCAATTTCTCATTCTAATTGTTGCATTGTTGGTATGCAGGAGAAAAGTCCTTGTTTGTGGGAAATATTTGAGATATAGAAATAAAGCATAACTTCAGCAACTTATTTGGAAATAATGCAAAAAAAAAAAAAAAAAGAAAAAAACCCAAAAACAAAAACAACATTCTTTACCACCTCTGAAAACTTTCCACAAGTCTGAAATCTCAGTCCCCTGAATCCTCTGATTTTCCATCACAGATTCAATGAACTGTAGGCATCAAAAATACTCTTAGGGGTGGGGATTTAGCTCAGTGGTAGAGTACTTGCCCAGCATATGTGAGGCCCTAGGTTCAAACCTCAGTACTGCACATAAATAAACAATTTTACAAAATGGCATCTGCATTGAACATATATAATTTTTAAGTCATTATTTACTAAATAAAAGTATAACAACTATTTATATAGCATTCACATTGTACTAGGTATTATAAGTAATCTAGGGATGACAAAGTATACAGGGCAATATGCATAAATTATATGCAAATAATACACTGTTTCATACAAAGGACTTGAACTTTAGGGGATGTTGTTATCAAGGGGGTCCTGAAACTACCCGTCATAAAAACTCGGGGGTAGTTACTTTTTGGTGTTTTGAGATAGGATCTTGAGGGGCTGGGGATTTAGCTCAGCGGCATAAGCACCTGCCTTGCAAGCAGGCGGTCGTGAGTTTGATCCTTGGTACCAATAAAAATGAGAAAGACAAAAAAAAAAAGAGATAGGATCTTGATAGACAGCTTAGGCTGGCCTTGAACTTGCAGTCACCCTCCTGCCTCAGTCTCCCAAGTACTAAGGTTACACACATGTATCATAATGCCTGGTTTAGGAACATTTGTAACTGTTTTAAAGTTAAAGTTGAGGCTGGTGGCACATTGCTATAATACCAGCTACTTAGCAGGATCCTAAGTTTGAGGCCAACCTGTGCAATTTAGCAAGACTTTGTCTCAAAATAAAAATAATAAATAAAAGGCTGGGGATGTAGTCTAGTAAACCCTAGGTTTAAATCTCCAGTATCAGAGAATAAATAAATACACACCCACACACCAGCTGATCCAGAAATAGTAGCACTGTGTTACACCTGTAATCTCAGCACTCTGGGAGGCTAAGGCAAGTAGACCACAAACTGAAGCTCAGCCTGAATTTAATGGGCAACTTAGTGACTTAGCAAAGACCCTGCCTCAAAAAATAAAAAATGGCTGGAGATATAGCTTAGTGTGGAGGCCCCGGATACAATCCCAATCTTACACACACACACACACACACACACACACACAGAGGCAGCTTTTAAAGTAGCTCCAATAATTTTGCTTTCTGGTATTTATGCCCTTGGTTAACCTATTCAGTATGGGCTCACCTAGTGACTTGCTTTTAAGAATCTGGCAAAAATGACAGGATGTCACTTCTGAGGCTAGGTTACTCAAATAAGTGTCTTTCATCTTGCTCTCTCATTTGCTTACCCTGACAGAAACCAGCTGCCAAATTCTGAAAGGTTTCTGCAGAAAGGCCTATATAATAAGGTATCAAGGGACGTCTCCAGCCAATGGACAGCATAGAACTGTTGGCCCTTGGTCCAACAGCCAGGAGAATATGAACTGTACCAAAAATCATGTGAGAGACCTTTGCAGTACTCTTTCCTAGCTGAGCCTTGAGATAACTGTGCTCCAGCTGACCCTGACTGTTGCCTGCAAGACAGCCTGAACTAGAAACTCAACTAAGCTTTGCCTGACACTGAGAGACAATGTTTTAAACCACTAAGTTTTAGGGCAATCATTAGGCAACAATTACACAAAAGAAAATCTATAAAGAGATAATATAGTAGTACAACCTTTAAAAAAATTAAACTATAATCCACCTTTGTCATTTGCTAGAAGGGTGTCTTGGGCAAGTCATATAAACTCACTGTTTTTTTTCGTCTTTTTCCTTTTTATCGGTACCGGGGATCGAACTCACGACTGCCTGCTTGCAAGGCAGGCACTTACACCGCTAAACTAAATCCCCAGCCCCTAAACCTACTGTTATAACTATTTCTTTTTATGTAAAATAAACATAATACACAGGTTTTAGGTGAAGATAAAATTGATAATACATGTGAGAATGTCTTTTATATAATTAGTTATTCTTTCAGGTTGTTCACTTTTTTTTCCATAAAAAGCAAAGGTTAAAAAAAAAAAAAAGAAGAAAAGGTTAGTCCTAAATATCCATTTGAGGGATAATACATCATGATGCTAATTTTCCTGTAAAAGTTTTTTCAAGGTTAATTCTTCAGTTTAATACATTAGAGTTAAGTAGAATAGTTCCTTGAAAAATAACAATTCCAGGCACAGGTAGAAAGAACAAATTATATGAACTGAAAAAGGATATAGAAAATGTTTCTACTCTGCTAAAGAAGGCTTCTTTGCTTGTAGATTCCAGTGCAGGTTGTTCTGGTTGGGGAGATCCATTAGCTGACTGGAATGTGGCAGATGTATCCTTCCTAAAATAAAGTGGTAGAACAGTTGATAACTTCTCACAGAACCATTTGGCTTCTCTTCACATTATACCTTCAGACCCAAATTAGATTTTAACCTGCCTAAAAATAATTTCAATCATGTCATTCCTCTGCTTAATATTTTCAATGGCTTCATAATACTAGTAAGTAGAAACCAAATTCTCCAATCTGGCATTTCTAACTCAGTATTTTAAAGACTAAATTTTAAAGACTGCCTCAGTCAATTTGTACCTTTGTAGTGCTCCATTAATACCAAACTATTTTCTAGCTCACTCTCTGTTCTTCAACTATATTTTGCTTGACTTTAGTAAACATAAAATAAGACAATTTGAGTCACTTCAGAAATTTAGTTCCTCTACAGCAGAAAAAACAACTTATATTACTACCTGGATGCACCACCTTACTCCTTCCAAAGAGAAACAACTGAAAAATTAAATCACAGTTAAAATCTTTAGATGTGATGAAAAAAATTAAGGGAGAAAAACAAATTAATCAAGAAATTCTTTCATTTCAGAGAAAGGCATTTCTTTCTTTCTTTTTTTTTTTTTTTTGAGGCAAGGTCCTGTAATGTAGCCTAGACTAGCCTCAACACAAGGCCATCACCCTGCCTCAGCCTCCCAAGTGCTGGGGATTACAGTGGTACACCACCATGCTGTGCTGTAAAAAGCATTTTGACAGCACCAGAAGACTGGGAATTGGAAATATCAAGACAAAAATAATAATTATTTTTTTTGTTTTGTTTTTCATTTTTTTTATCGGTACCAGGGATCGAACTCACGACCGCCTGCTTGCAAGGCAGGTGCCGCTGAGCTAAACCCCCCAGCCCAAAAATAATTATTAATAAAAATAACTTTACACCAGCAATCTTGGTTAGAAGGAAATAAATTTATTCTAAGAATGTCCCTCAGATTCAGGAGATGTGGTTCTTGGAAAAACTGACCACTACAAATCTGTATGACTAAAATAACATTTCACTAGCCTCTCTAAGATGTAGTAATTTTTCTAATTATGAAGGCTTTTAAAAAGTCCACGGTAGTATAAGCAGTATCTGTGAATCTGTCACATAGGGAAATAATTTTTGTCACCAATGGAAATTTCCTCACATTATGGTTGTTGGGTATGTTTGGAAATACTACTTACATTCAACATTACTTGAAAGTGATTGTTGATAATAGACATACTACGTATTACTTAACTCATAAAAAGCAATTTCTGGCACAACTTTTTCTCTTTTAGTATCTTATCTACACTATGAAGTAACTGGTTTCACGTACGATTCTCTGTAGTCAGGTGTCGCGCGACTGTAATCCCAATTATTTGGGCGTCAAAGAAAAAATGAGCGTGAGTTTGAGGCCAATCTGGGCAACACAGTGAGACTCTACCTTTCAAAAAAGAACAAGTTTTTAAAAATTGCTACGCAACTTGCTGTATGAACTTAAAAATATTTTTCAGAAAAAGGACTCAAGTTTTACCACACTAGCGAAGGGGTCTGCGGTGCAAAATGTTACGAATTCCAACTAAGAGGTTAAGTGTTCATTCACTTAGTGGTCCCGTTTTCCTTTCAGAAAAGTCTTAGGACAAAAACTGCCCGTGATGCTGAATCAAATAAATTCTGAGGAACCCAGAGCCCACCAATTATTGTAATCTCTTTCTAAACCCAACAAGTCCGTCCCCACAGGCAAAATCGCCGATCGAGGGGACAATCCCCAACCTCTGTACTTGCTCCAGGCCTCAGTTCCCTCAGCCCTCTCCAATTTTCCAGCGCCAGACCCAGGCTGACAGGAGAACTCACGATTCTGCACCTCCCTCTTCTGGGGCAATCCCCTCATCTATTAGCTGCCGGACTTTTTGGGGTGTTCCTTCTGGAGAACGAACAACACCCCAATTCTTTTCAGCCCCCGCGGTAAACACCTGCCCCTCACTGGGCGCCGCCATGTTGGTCCGTTAGTGAGTTGTGTCCCCGCGGGTTTGAAGCCTTAGGAACTTCCGTTCTGGGCGGTTAACAGCCGCCTCTCTAGGCAACCGCAAGCAACGAGTCTATCCTCTGGGTAACCACTTCCTGGTCGGGAGAACCTTAGAACGAAGGTAGAAGCGGTAAACTTAGGTTAATCGTTTCCTTTATGAACTAGCATATTAAGCTTGATGAGGAATGTTTAGAGGGATCACACTCCAAATTCATCAGAGATGAGAGGCCTAATGTTGTCTTCAAGTAATTAACTCTTACTAGGCTCTTCTCCTAGCTTACATCTTTTTACAAGTTGGGAAATAGCAATCATCACATGAGAACAATAATACAGACTCTTCTTTAGCAAATTGGGTTCCAGGTGGATGCAGAAGTGTGACGCCCTGGGCACTAGTGAGAGATTTCTCTTTTGTCTCGCAACTATTGAATGTATCCTTCTGTCCTCATATGAGATATTATCAATGACAATAGGGAACAAAAGACATGTAGGTGGTCTGTGGTACAGTTCAACATCAAACAAATATGTTTTCCTATACTTTTGTTTTGCTTGTAATGCTGGGGATCAAATCCAGGCCTCCCACTAGCTCTGCCACTAAGCTGTATTCCCAGACTTCTGTAGTTTTAAAATTATAAGTGATCTTTCAACTCTCTCTTGACGCCAACAATGTTCGCCATCTACCAAACCTAAACCTGCAACTTACTGATCTAGGCAAGTTTCTGCTGTTTCTAATTTTACCACTCCTCCTGTTTTTTTTTCTCCCCTTAACTAGCTTAACCTCACCGTTAATCTTTATTATCATATTTTGGCAATATTTGAATGTGGGCTGAAAATTAGTCAATAGAATATTAAGAAATTACTGTTAATTTTGTTACATATGATAATGGCATTTTGTTTATTTTCTGAGACAGGGTCTCCTAGGTAGTCTGGGCTGGCCTTGTATTTATTATGTAACTCAGGCTGGCCTAGAATACACAGTGATCCTCCTGCTTCATTTTTCTGAGTGCTGGGATTACAGACCTATGCCATCACGCCCAGCTTTTTGTTTTTGAGTCAGAGTCTCACTATGTAGTCCATGCCAGCTTTGAACTTGCCATGTAGCCTAGGCTGATTTTACGCTTGCCATCCCTTTGCCTTAACCTTCCAAATGCTAAGATTGCAGGCTTGTGCCAACACACCTGGCTTGTGGTGTGTTGGTTTTTAAAGTATTAAGATACATCTTGAGGTTTTTATGGGCAAACTGATGTGATGTTTGGGATTTTATTTGAAATTCTAAAAAAGAAAATGGGAAATGTGGAGGATTAGATAGCAGAAGATTGAAAAATGTTTTAAATAGTTGGGTTTAAGTGGTAGAGTTAATGGCATACATTATATTATTTTTTCTACTATTGAATATGCTTAACAATGTATAATAAAAAGCAAAACAAGCACCTGGGAATTTAGCTCAGCAGCACAAGCACCTGCCTGGTAAGTGCAGGGTCATGCATGAGTTTGAACCCTGGTTAAAAAAAAAAAAAAAAGCAAGCTAAAAATGATGCATTCTCTGACTATCCTCTCACTTTCCTCAAACCTCTCTTGGCAAAATCTAAATCAGGGCTGGGGATTTAGCTCAGCGGCATAAGTGCCTGTCTTGCAAGTAGGCAGTCGTGAGTTCGATCCCCGGTACCGATAAAAAGGAAAAAGACAAAAAACAAACAAACAAAAAAACCAAAATCTAAATCAGTGGAATTGAGCTCTCTACAATTCTGCCCTTGTGTCTATGACAAAATATGGCTAAAGAAAAACCATGTTGACTTCTCTCTATATATATATATGTGTGTATTTTTTTGTACCAGGAATTGAACTCAGGGCCTCACACTTACCAGGCAGGTAATGTGCTGCTGTGCGATATCCCTGGCCCTGTCTGTATATTCTTTTTTTTTTTTCTGTCTTTATATTCTTGACTTCAAGGGGGACCTTATTTTTGCCTAGTAATCAAACTTCGTTTCTCTAGTCCACTTCCTCTTCCATGTTGTTATTTTGTTTTGGTTTTGGTTTTTATGAGACAGAGTCTCACTATGTAGCCCAGCTTGATTTCAAATTTGTGGCAGTCTTTCTGTTTCAGCTTCTTGGAGATGTATACTATGAGGTCTGGCTCTTTACCACTCTCACAGATGACTATTTTAAACTTCTCTCCATCACTACCTCCAACATCTCCACCTAGGCTACTCTCCCTTTCTGCTAATAACTTGGGGTTTCTTTTTGGCCTAAAAAAAAAAAAAAAGCAATAGAAAGGAAACTTCCATCACACTTTACCCACCAGCATATAGATTACTGGGAATTTTTAAAGTTTCCATACTTCTGGGAAATGATTGGCTTTTCTATTTTATTATGGAACAATGAGCAATCAGACAGGTTAAAGTTTTTTCTTTTTTGGGCGCTGGGGATTGAACTCACAACCTTGTATTTGCCAAGCAGGCACTTATACCTGCTGAGCTAAACCCCTGGCCCCAGACAGGTTAAAGTTTAATTGATAACAATAATTTGCCTCAGTGAACATGCTTTTTTTGTAAGCCCAATCAATTGTCACCCTTTCATTTGGCCAATTACAAAGGGACTCACTTGAATAAACATATCTCTTGAGTGCCAGCCAACAATATTCTTGCTCAAGTTATCACTTTTACTCCTTGAGCCCTGACAGTTTGCAAGTCTCTGAGCTCTGTGCTTTCTCAAAATCCAATAGATCAGCCATCTGGGCTGCTTGAAGACTGTGCCTGATCCATACAGCTCTCATTTTCTATAGTAAGTATCAAATGAAATAACAGAGAGATTTTCCAAAAATAATAAGCTTCCTTGGGATTAAGCAGAGTTTCAAATGGGAATACATGTGGCATAGGAAGTTGTTGTTGTATTCCCATTTTAAGTGTTGTGCTTATTCAGCTTTATCTCTTTATTTCATACACTGAGTAGTGTTCTCATTTATTCCCTGATAATATTCTGTGATCCATTCTGTTACTATTGATGAAAGGTTTTCAAATAAGTATGACTTTGCTTTCCAGGGAATATTTGTGATGTTCCTAGATTGTGTGCAAAAACTACATCATTTTGAACACTTTTTTTTTTTGTGGGTATCAGAAATCAAACTCAAGATCTTGTGCTTGCCAGGAAGATGCTGTGCCAGTGAGCTATATCCCTAGCCCTCAATGTTTTTTATATATATAAAACTTTGAATATCTTTTTTTTAACATCTTCTGATATTGGTATAGCAGTGGGTCCTGGAACCAAATACCCATGTAAATTCTATTTTTATGTATATTTCTCTTGGTGTCTCTGTTTCTCAGTTTGTTTCCATTAAAGGATACTCTTCAGAAAGGTGTGGTTTTCTTTTTTTTGGTGCTAGAGATTGAATCGAAGGCCTTATACATCCTAGGCAGGTGCTCTACCACTGAACTACATCTTCAGTCCTATTATTTTAATTGCTGTGTCCCTAGTGTTTGCAGTAGTGCTTGAACATAGTAGATGCTTGATAAATAGTTATGAAATGAATGTATGTAAAGCTTCTGAAGGGGTTGGACCTTACCCTATAAGCCACGGGCGGCCATTGGAAGACTTCAGGTAGTGCAGAAACACGGACAGTTGTGTGTTTGGGAAAAGTCACTCTCAAAATACTATGTGAGTGACCATGAGGAGGTTGCTGAAGAAGTTCTGAAAGAACAGAAAGCAAAGGTATGAAAGACTAGGTGGATGATAATTGGAAGCAGGAAGATGCAAAGTTTATTTTGGAGCTAGAAACACGGGAATTTGGATTGTATATGTCAGGTGAGAGTAGCTTTTAAGGAGGGACCCTAGGTCTCATAATGGATATATATATGACATATATATTGAGTGTGTGTGTGTGTGTGTGTGTGTATCTGATGTATTCATTCTTTTTTTTTTTGTCTTTTTCCTTTTTATCGGTACCAGGGATCGAACTCATGACTGCCTGCTTGCAAGGCAGGCGCTTATGCTGCTGAGCTAAATCCCCAGCCCCCAATGTATTCATTCTTGATGTTTTCTATAAGTCCGTAGTGTCTAGCACATAGTACAGCAGATGTTCATAATTTTTTTTTGTCTTTTTGAGACAGGCTTTTGCTATGCAGTTCAGGCTGGCCTTGAGCTCACTTTGTAACCCAGGCTGGTCTCAAACTCACAAAATCCTCCGGCCTCAGCCTCCCAGGTGTTGGGATTACAGCTGTGTGTCACCTTGTACGGCTTAGAAAATGTTGATTTTAAGATATAAAATAATAAATACTTATAAATTGTCTAGTTTTCAGTAGTCTCTAGACAAATGTGCTGATGAAAAAAAGAGTCTGAATCAGAAATGGCCCCTCATTGCACTTGAATCTTCCTCCCATGTGGTTAGAAAATTCAGTGATGGTGGATATGGAAGTATCTGGTGACCAGTAGGTTCCTGATACTGCTAGTGTAGCAGGAAGCCCTTGGTTGTCCGTTCCTTTGGGAGTTACCTGATTGAAAGGAGTCATTTCTCCCGAGGTCACCCCTTTCCCCTTTCCTGGAGACATCCAGCATTCAGTGGCCAATCAAGAGTTAGGAAAGGCCCAGGCCCCTTGTCCCAATGTAGAATCATATTGAGATTTTTGTAGAAAAATAGATGCTCTGGAGACTATAATATTAATTAAATCAGACACACAAGCTTAAATATGGTATGATTTCTCCCTCTCCCTCTTCCCCTTCCTCTCCTCTCTCTTTCCCTTCTTCCTCCTTTCCTTTTTTATCTTAAGACAGTCTCACTAAGTCACCAAATTGTCTAGACGGAGTTTGAACTTGGGATCCTCCTGCCTCAGCATCCCAAAGTGTTGAGATTACACACATGAGCCATTATGCCCAGCTTTGACTGTTTTTTTTTTTTTTTTTTTTTTTTTTTTGGTCCTCATTTCAAGTTTTGTACTAAAAAGTTATGTTTGACCACAAATCATGACCCCTTGTGTAACATGGGCACTATTAGAGAGACAGGGAGAGA